TCTACAAACGTGCGTTTAAAATTCGAAACACCGATGCGACCACTGCAGTGTACGCAGTCCATGCGCTATGCATGTTTCACGTCGGCGGCTCGTGACGAGAAAATAAATTCGCTTTCGTGCTCGTTAATTTGCATTGTTCAACGGCGTTTGGAAGCGAAGGAGATGGTGTCTCGGGGGTGGTGGTGACGGCGGTGGTGACACCGATACTAATTAAGTCACTGCGGTGAAAAATTAACGTGCGTGTACCACACAACGACAAGTCGTTAAGAACCATAAAAAAAAAAAATAATAATAATAAAATAAAATAACAAGGGAAAAAAGAAACCCTTCGGTATTCGGTGGGAAACAAATCGTGCGGCCACGCGTGCAGTGTTATTATGTATACGTACGCGTTCGCTAACTTGTGCTCGAAAAGTTCTGAGACCATAAATAATAATTGGGGATCACTGCTGTACATTTGTATATAGATAACACGCAATATGCGTGCGATACAATCGACGGTGGTTAAAATAACATTAAAATCGTATACAAATGTTTGAGAAACTACGTAATATTATATTATTACACAGGCGTCCTTGGAGTTAGTTATTCGTCGTGGAATAACGTTATAGTTTGCTATTTTATTATGCTACGGTCATGTATACTTTCGACGTTATTACACACAATAATATGTCGTTAATGTTATAAACAGAAAATGCATTTTTACAATATGTGTACATAAATGTAACAATATATCGTGGAACCTTTTTAACATCTACTATAAGTTATGAACTTTCAATCTTACACGACACCTAATTTCCTGGCAAAGCACTGGAATGAAAATACAGAGAAAAAACTACCAACGCCGAAATATATTTTTTATCATTTTGTCGGTGCTAGATAAACATTTTAATTAATTTTCTTATTTTCCTTGCTTGTTAGAAAAGGGAAACTAAAATGTAAGCTAATGAAGTTTTAAATTATCCATACAATTTTAATATTGTAATTTAAATTATAAATATTCAATCATCTATACAACACTATAAAGCTACAATGCATTGTAGTGCATTTTTCGTTAGCCGTCTCATTATATGTTTTTGAAAATCATGAGCGTATACAATATTATATACAAAATACAAATTAATTAGTTTTGGATTGTCGATGGTAGTAAAAATTTCGAATGGAATGATAGAGTGGTTGTTTAAATTTGCCGTCGGTGCGGCGCAGCACACAAACGTTATGATCAATGTACATAGTATACGAATAATATATTTGTAATATATTAATATAATATGTATAAATTAATATTTAAATATTTAAATTAATTTATATTAATATAATATTATATATTAATATAATAATATATTTGCGCGATTTGCATCGTCGCTCGCAAAACGACAAGTTACAATATTGTGCACGTCCCGATGATAGTCGCCGCACACGCGTCTTTACAAACAAATTCTCGCTGGCGTATTTATTTTAATAAATGGATCCCTATATAATATTATACATAACTATTATTTACGTTTTACCGCTATGGCAATCATTTCTTTTGAAACGACGGAACGTCTGTAAGTAATTAAGTATCTTTCGTAATGCGTACAGCACACTAATTAGAGCAAATTAAAAACGCTTCTATTGACAAGTTTATAAACTTAGCTGACGGGAAGATTTGTTTGATTTTAATTATTGTAAATTGTCGTTATTTTTATCTTTACAATTTATTAAAAAACTTTAGTTAAACGACTCTGTTTTTTTCATTTAAATATTTGTACATGCATAAAATAATCATAATAATAAGTGTTTACTAATGTTGAGTATACATTTGTTATGCACCTGATTCTGTTCTTTGCAAGTACGTATACTTGTACATTGCGTTTAGACTTTGGTTCATTGTCGTAGGCGCGTACAGCTCTATAAGCTCAAACTGATCGGCTATATTGTTAAATAAACTAACTCACTGCTTGTAGATCTATTAAGTGGAATAGTTTAATATTGAAAAAACAAAAAAAAAACATCAAGGCAGGGACAATGTTTTGAATTTAAAACTTGCGATTACGTTTTTATCCTTAAAATGTACTATTTGGAGTTTAATATTTTATTTATTTTTTTTCTGTTGTTATTTATTTTTTTATTTCAATTAACGATAATGTCTTTTTTTAATTATCAAAATTCTTTTTAACAGAACACAATTCGCTTTGAATAACTCATCCTTTTATTCCGAGTACCTACAACTACGGTGTTGCGAGAACGACGACGATAACGGTACGTTTGCCGATTCCAACTACGCGTGTATATACCATTTCTATAGGACTTTTCTCGTACATAATATAGATAAGCGAGTTTCTGTTAACACTATTTTTCCCCCGTCGGAACCCCGTTAAAATATCGACAAAGTCGTCTCCGCCACCGTCTTTGATATTATATAATACACACACACACACACACACACACACAGGCACACACCGATACACATCACTCCTTGTGTACATTGTGCGATATATACCTTCTACTATGATGATTTAGTGCGAGTTGACTTGATGTAAATTTTATTGTCTTGAAACGTCCGTGTTGTCTTGGGAGTTTAAAATAATGCATTGTGCTCGTTTCCCGAAAGTGAATTACTATTTAACGTGGATGGCTGCTTTTCGAAAATACAGTATTGTCTGCCACACGAATGAGAAAACATTGTTCTTTGCCAGGACTTGGAGATAACTTTTTGATTCCTTACCTCCGGCGCGTTCATATATACGATAAATTTATATATCTATGGTGGTAATAGCACTGCATGACCGTTGAAAATTATTGTCCTTCTGCCAGTACAATTATATAACGGTAAAATGGAAAACTCCGCTAACAAACAAATGATCAATTACGGATGATCTTTTCCCTTTGTTTTTGTACAAATAATTATAATAGTTTGTGTATGTCGATTTACGAGAGGTTCGGAAGACTTAGCTCGGTAAGTTTTGGATCTTGAACGAAGCTATTTTAGATTAACAATGGTGTTTTATTATTTTATTTTTTCTGTAAACACTTTTTTGGGCAGTAAATCTACACCAAAAGTTTCATACAGCAACTTTTTAGATAGAAAATTGAATACAAATGGTAGTTTGGAGAGGTTCCGTTTGAAGGAAAATCTGAGAAAAAACTTCGAAGTAATGTGGAATTTTGTTCGGCCATAATTTATTTTTCTTTTGATAAAACAAGTGAATTTGTGGTTTATGGTTTGGACATTTTCTGCCAGGCTAACCCTTAAATACTTGAATAGGGTTAAAAATTTGAAGGACTAACTCTGTTATTTACTCGTATATTGAGTTTAAAAAATTTGAAATATGTTAGAATTGATTAACTCCGCGTGCATTGAATATATACGGTTCATTTTATTTTATATTTAAGATATTTATAATCCTATCTATATATACATATATATTATATGTATTATATAATACACTTTTACCCATTGTATTGATCTATTATTGTGCCTATAGAAATTTGCTTAAAATCGTTGTTCGAAAATATATACGGATAAATACAACAAAAAACTTTCACTAGGAACTGTGTGATCTATAACTGGATTTTTTGGACTTTGTAATTACACAAGATGTGTATGAAAATGTATTGCTACTGCGCACGCACCGCTCCGACATGTCTAAATTGACCAAGACTCTGTGAATTAACTGTACGATAACGGTGCTTTTGACGACTTAAGTATAATTTATGTAAAAACTATTGGTTAACTATACTGCGCATTTACTTCATTTACTTAAGCATTGGATACATTTTAGCAATAATTATTTTGTGTCGAGTTATATTTATTGCGCAGTATTATTTGACATCATATCTTCTTGATCTTATATTGAGTTCTAAAATGTTTATGGATCGTATAAAATGGTAGTTAAAATAACAATAAAATTATTCGAATGTTTAAAAAGTTGGTCATCCCGGAGTTTCATTGGTGAGTTAAATATTAGTAAACCCCTATACTTTCAACATAATTACTGTTAGAAACATTAAACGTGAAGTACGTTTTAACAATGCGTATACACAAATAAAAATGAAGACAATACAACGAGTATACATATTAGTGATGGGAAACATCCGGAATTACCGAAGTTCGAAAATTCGGATTTCGGATCTTACTCTCAATACGAATTTTAGATTTTAAAACATTGAATTAGTATTACTTTATGTATTCTATTAAATCTAGATAACTATAGATTTTTTTGTTATAAATTATTATATATTTAATATATTTATACAGATTTGACAGTCTAAACTCAATTTGTATATGAAAAGAGTAACAACATTTATAAGTATCAGAATAATTTATTCAAAATTATACAGTGAATAATACTTTAATTTACTTTATACAACTAATATTAAAGTAAACAATGCAAAATAAATACTTTATTACAAAAATAATAATGGACGTTTTAAATATAACCGGGGAATAATAATTTATAGTAATAATACGATTATATCTTTAAATTAGAATTATTTTTTTGTTTAAAATAGAAAATGGTTGTACGGTTAGTTATTTTAGAGCTTATAACAAAAAAATGAATATTCCGATTTAGAATGCTGAAATCTACTACGTGAAACTCAAATAATCGGATTTCCGGAGAATTTTAATTTAATCCCCATCACTTATATTGATATATTATTATAAATGCTTAATTTCGTTGAATTTGTTTAAGGGCATGTTGTTTGTTTAAATGTCTTTTCGGTACGTTCGAACAGTCATAACAATTTCACGCAATGAGGAGTTTAGAGTTTACACATATCTTATTGGTAAACGCACGTTTCGTTGTTCTAGTACACTAACGCTAATCGTCACACGCTCACTTAACGATCGATATGATTAACCATGGTTATCGATCGATTTATCCGAGCGCATTTCCCACACCTCCTTTTCTGCTCGTTCGCGAATATGCGAGCACTGCGCGCGCATTACGTTTGCAGACCGACGAATGAACCGACAGTTTGGTAACCGTTATATTTTTTTCCTGTCCCCACAGAACTCCGGTGGAACGTACCGGTCGCTGGTGATCCTGTCGGCCGCGGCGGCCATCCTACTGTTCGTGAGGATGTCGCTGATGGGAGACGGTGGCGCGCCGGTTTTCGCTGCGGCCGACAACCCGACAGCCAAATCGCTGAGCCTGGTCACCCGGACACTGACGTTCCTCTATCTGCCGGTCGAGAACATCCGGCTGCTGGTCTACCCGCGGCGGCTCAGCTTCGACTGGTCCATGGACGCGGTGCCGCCCGTCACGTCCGTGTACGATCCCCGCAACGCGCTGTCCGTCGCACTGTTCGTGGCGCTGTTCACCGTGGCCAGGAGGTCTGTGACAGCTGCGTACCGAGCCAAGCAGCACCATCGGACCCCGTGCTACCGGTCGCACCGGTGCAGTTCCAAGACCAAGTACGATCGGCCGGCCGACCAATCCGACGACCCGGTAAGTGTTCCGAACCACGTAGGTACCTACGGCAAATGACGTGCACTAGTGGTCTCCAACCTATGTTGTTTTGAAAACAACATTAGTTTTCATTGTTTTTAATTACATATAAAATGTATTTGTTATTTTTTTTTCTTTTGGTGTTATTTAAAATAGTTTTACTTGTGTATATAATATAAACTAATAAGTCTTATAAAAAAATAATCCTTCGATCCCGTTTATCGGAATTAGAGTTTACTAGCGTATAGTCTCGCCGATGGTCGGATAAGATAATAACGATCGACGCCGTAATTATAACGCTATCAAACAAATGTAAAAGTACACTGTGCAATTTGTAGATATATAATATTGAATCAGTTTTAAAATAATTTTAGTTTTGTTTCTCATCCGATTTCGTGCTCTATTTGGTACTTAATAAGAATTCAAGTAAAATGCGATAAGTCGACAAAAAGTGCCATGTTTTTAATGAAAAGTGGCATAATTATTACTTTTTTGTCGGACAAAATAATTTTGCTTTATGTGTTATTTGCAAGGAAAAGGTATTAAAATATTTGTAGATATTTTGAAACCAGACACGCATCTACGTATAACAAGCTATCTGGTAAGCTACGATCAGATAATTTTGAAATTTTAAAAAGTAAAATTTACCTACTCAACAATCACTTTTTACAAAATGGTCAGGTCAAAATGAGTCTCTTGTAAAAGCAAGTTTCGAAGTAACTAACTAACTTTGGTGATAGCTGAAAACCTTTTATTGACGATGAAATCCTAAAGGAATGCATTTTGAAGACAGTTGAAGAACATTTTTCAGATAAATTAAATTTATTCACTTTTGTTAGCTTATCGGTGAATACAATTGCGCGACGTACCACAGATCTCAGAATCGATATTGTTCGTCAGGTAAAAGACACTGTTATATGTTTCAAACATTTTTCATTTGCCTTGGATGTATCTACCGACTCTTCAGAATCTGCGCAGGTGCTTTTATTTGTCCGTGGAGTCGATGAATTTTTTAAATTTTTTTAAAATTACAGAAGAATTGGCCGTAATCAATTCAATGCAAGATACATGTACCGATGATACAACTATTCTGAAGGTAAAAGAAACTATTTTTGCTTTGAGCCTTGATTTTAAAATTTTAAAATGTGTAACTTCTGATGGAGGGCGCAATATTTCTGTAACTCATAAAGGTTTAATTGGAAATGTTTGTTAAGCTGTATTGGAAACTGGAGCAGTAAAACCAATGACTATTCACTGCATTGTGAATTGCAAACAAACTTTGTGTAAGAAAAATGCCCCAATATCTGAAGTTATGAATGTTGTTATGCAGAATGTAAATTATATTCGAAAAAGTGCTTTCAGTCACCATCAATTTAAGAACTTTCTCGCTGATATTGAAAGCGAGTACCCAGATAGTCCCTATCATTGTGAAATTCATTGTCTCAGCCGAGGTAATGTCTTGAAAAGATTATTTCTTCTACGTTCAGAAATTGACATATTAAGACGGAAAAAACCGCGTTGTCACTGAGTTAGCTGATTTTTCATGGTTATAGAAACTGGCTTTTCTCGTTTCTCAGTTCCCGAATGAGTTAAATTTAAAGCTTCAAGGAGCATATTCATTCATTTCAGATCTATACTCCTACATCAAAGTTCTTGAATCAAAATTAACTCTATTCACAAAACAACTTGAAGAAAAAATTCTTGTCCATTTTCCAACTAGCAACAAATTCAAACTTGAAATTGATGAAGAATTTCCTACCAATTTTACTGTTGGGGTTCTGACCTATTTAAAAGAACAGTTCTAGACTCATTTTAGAGATTTTTAAAGTGCAGAAAACCATATTCGAATTTATTAAAAATCCATTTTCTGTAGAAATAGAAACTTTACCAAAGAATCTTCAACTAGAAGTTATCGAGCTCATATCAAATTCAAAAACTATTTCAAGGAAAATAGTCTTCAAACATTTTACACAATGTTGCCAGAGGAGTCATTTCCAAATATCAAAAAAGATACACGTGAAATAATTTCAATATTTAGCTCCATGTACTTATGTGAGCAGACGTTTTCAAAAATGAAATATATCAAATCCAAGTACAGAACTAATTTCAGTGATGAACGTTTACAAGCGACGCTGTTAATTGGAACCACAAAATTTGATGAAACTACTTAGAAATTTTAAAAACTAAGCAATTCAATATTTCTCGTTAAAAATGTAACTTACACGTATTACAAAAAAAATACAATTTTGAATTATAAAAATAAAAATAAACTATATAAATAAATGTAAATTTTTTTAAAAAAAATCTTATCTATTTTTTAATTTCATAACCTTTCTGTTCGTTTACAAAGGTTGGAGACTCCTGACGTAGTTAACCGACGTAGTCGGTTTATATATTCGAACGAGTTAAAATTACGATATATATGCATATATAGTTGTTACCGCGGTTAAGTCACGGAAAGACGTTACCAACATTGTTTTATCGCGACCGTTGACAAAAATACAACGCTTTTTTTTTCGACAGGTTCGATCGGTTGCGCTAGCCGTCGCTTTGACTGCCATACCGTTCGTGCCGGTGTCCAACATGTTCTTCTACGTGGGCTTTGTCCTAGCCGAACGTGTGCTGTACATGCCCAGCGTGGGCTACTGTTTCCTGTTCGGTTATGGTTATGCTGCGCTGGAGCGCAGGCTGGGTCACAAGTGGCCCAGGATGGGGCTGGCCGTGGTGCTCACCGTATATGGAGTGCGTACCATCATCAGGAACAACGACTGGCGAGACGATGAGTCGCTGTACCGGTCGGCCGTGCATATCAACCCGCCCAAAGGTTAGTATCCGTTAACTGAATAGTTGCACGTTCGTCAAATCTTGCTCTCCTGGTTTTTTTTTAAAGGTGGGGGGAGGGGACACGCGAATCGATATTGGAACACGTTGCACTGCTGCTGTGGTACATTCCGACGTGCACTGGCGAATGAACGTTGATGGAGGGGTACGAACAAATGTATTTGTGGCACGGTTCTGTACGTTTTCTGTTACAATCTAACGGGGGTGGGGGTTAGGAGGGTTGTGAAAGAGAAACCAACAACTGCTGTATCCGCCCGTTATGGTCCTACCGTCATTGAAAGCACACCGTTACATACATGTGTCATAAAAACGTTAAGGGTCAGTAGTACTTTATCCACTGCCCAAGGAGATACCCGTTTTACGAAGTTCACGCCCAGATGTCAGAGACGTAATGCGCCGATTCCGTAAAACGTCGATTGATTATGTTACACATGTACGAACGCGAAGGATTTTCCACGCGCCCATGTACTGCGCCGTTTTTGACCTATTATGTATATTACGAGTATATGATCTATATATTTTAATGCACGCGTCACATCGGTTAAGTCCACAACGGCGTGTTGTTGGCGGGTGTGCGGACGGAGCCATGGTGTACAGCGATCGCTGTGCAGGACACTGTGTGTTCACAAATATTCAAACGACTTCGGCTCGAACTTTTTTCAGATTAACACTAGGTGTTTTTAATCATACGAATCTCTTCAATGAATTACGGTGGCGTGATGTTGTTATTCATATGCAATTTAAATTATAGAAAAACCGGACAAAACGTGTTATGTTTTATTTACCCCCGTTAACCCCCTTATTTCTAGGAACGTATATTATATTTTGCTTTTACACCATATTAATGCATCGAAATAATCTATTAGTTTATCAACTTTGCTTTGGGCTTGCTACAACAGGTTTTGTTTTCGTATTAACCTGATAAATCTCAGGAACCCCATTGTCCATTCGCCGTAAAGACGTTAACGTATTCACTGGGTGAATATTTCGTGCAAAAATAAAAAAAACACGATCTCCTCGTCTACGATACCTTGTAAACAATAAAGAAGATTATAAAAAAAGTGCATATATGATATCAGTTGCGAAGCTCACCGTCAACACTGCTGCGTAGTCATGCACGGTGAACATGTTCAAATATTTTTTTTGCCGATCATACCGGTATAGCGTTCGAAACGATTTTCCTCTACTTTTCATCAGACGGATGACACTGTCAGACATAGTTATATTTTTTTTCCTTTTCCGTTTGCCCGAACATGTCCACGAATAATATATATATATATATATTTGTTTGTAAATGAATGATGTTACACTCCACTTACTGCTGTAGTCTGTTAAGTCCGTAGAGATTACCCGTCTCGGTAATCGGTGATCGTGTACAAGGTAACGGTCGGTATTGTCGTGGAAAATATTTTCGAAAAGCTCACCGCTGCTGCTGCCTCAGCTACTGACTTGCTTGTAATACGGACGATGAACATTGCGTATATTGTACATGGATATGAAATTGAATCGACAAAAAACTGTAGACCGTGAACTCGATACAGGCCCACCATCTTCGATCGTGACTTAAGGTCGTATAACTTCCACGGCACTTACTTATGATCCATAATACTTGTAAGTATTACGTACTATGTCCCAACCATATGGCGAAATTCGACCATGATGACCACCGTGTATCTAAGCCGTATGACAATCCCACGCAATATGTTATAAAGTAGTTTTTATAGGGTGTTTTTAAAAGAACCCAGAATTTAAATCTGATATAAATTAAATTTATTTCCTTTAAAAATACTCGTACATAAAAAATATATCATTCTCTTCAAGAGAAGTCAAAGTTTAACAATAAAAAACAATATCGGACATATGACCTACCCTACTAGTCCTACAGGTGATTATTCTTTCTATAAAATTTACCATCACTGGATAACACATTGCCCCATCAAATTCGGTGAGGACACGATGAATTTCTTGCTTGAGTTCCAAAAAATGTTGAACATCGTTCTGATAAACTCGTGACTTAGTATATCCCTATAAGAAAGAATAACACGCCATCAAATCGCAAAATCGAGGTGAGTAGTTTTGGCCACGCAACGAGACATTCCGGGAACTTCTCATGCAGCAGAGAGAGTTTCTCTTGAAGTGTGAAAAGTTGCGCCGTCTTGTTGTAACCATACAAGAATACCTACTGAGCTCAGTAATAATTACTCTTACTTCTTTAAAAGAAAATCAATAGCTCGGCCCAACAATGAGGCAAGCGCTACTTTACAAATTTTACAGGAGATATATTTAATGTGTTATTAACGGTTTTACTTGTGACGTAGTTGATGTTTGCTTGTAGCTCGTTGTTCCACTCAGTTTCTCGCAACCATATATTAAACTTTTTGAAAATCGTATTATATTGTATACATATTGTATAAATCGGATAATATTTAAGTATACCATATATTACTTTGTTACCTTCTTAAAATATTATTAATAATAGTTTTGTTTTTTTTACACATAAAAATTACCAATAAACCGTTTTCCACTTATCCAGATGGAATCGAATAATATAGGAAAATGTAAATATAACAAAAAAATGAATTATCTAAAAAATAAAATATCCTTATACTAAAATTTTGTGAAAATATTAATACAAAAATGAAATGTAACCTGTGAAATATTTTAATTTGATTAAATTTGATAAACGATGAATAACTCAAAACTTCAACAGATCCTAATAGAAAGCCTTTTTTTCTTGTGGAAAATATTCATAAATGTCAATCGAATCCTATCTTTTTTTCATCCTAGACTGGTATGATTTCTGTGTATACCTCGGATAAGTTGCAAATTGAATATAAGTTAATTTTTTTCCCGTAAATTTGAAAAATACTCCAAGGTTTCAATAAGTAATTTTTAACCACACACCCTCTGTAATTTTCATTTTTGTGTTTTTTACCAGTATTATTTCTAGTTGACTGGAGTTTTAAAAATTACTCTGTTACATTTCAATAACAAAGAGAGCTTATTATTCCTTGCCCTTGCGATAATATATTTCAAATTTCTTGGAATGAGAGTTTTTGATTTTTTTTTTCGATCAGTGCAAATTTCTTATTGCACGGCAGAAAACAATGCCTTGAACGTAAAAATGTTTGATTTATTTCTGTAAAAACCGAATACGAGCAAGGTGAGCATATAAATTAAACACGCGCCAGTTATTATTTTGACCATATTGATTAGATCAAACAATTAGTTTCCTTTCTTGTCCAGGTTTCAGAACTGAAAATACATCAACCACATTACAAGATGCTTTTTCAATTGAACCTCTTTTTGCCTGACATTCATGGCAGAGATATATCGTTATATCATTACTCCCCATGTTTTGGAAAGTAAAATTATAACTACTGTGTTCAGGACAAAAAAGCATTTGTTGCAGGTCTATGCATAACACGATAATATTTTTATTTCTACTGGCTATTTTTGTATCTTCTTTTAGCTACTGGTATACTTGATCAGCTTTAAAATGATGTAAAATACTCTGTATTTTGATAGACTATTGTTCCACCTCAGTTTTTGCAGATATAAAACTAATGTAGTTCTTATCACAGTATTTACACGTATCTGAACGAGGAACACCAAATCGGAGATTTAATTCCTTTATGAATACTTCATACAATGTCTTACACACTCTTATTCCAGGGTTTAGTTTAATTAACAAGCTGTACATTTTGGATAGATTCAAATCAGGGCTTAAACATAGCTTTTCACTATTTTTCCTACTTTAATGGGTAGGTTGTTTTGGAAAATTATCTGCGTTCCTTAATTAATAATCTCACTGAATTAGGTAATATATGAGATCTGTTTTTATGTTTTCCACGGCCATCAAGTGGTACATTTATATTATATTTCATTTTATTTGAGATTATTTCGATGCGACGCCTGGTAATTTAGAATGTATCAATAAACTTTGAACGACATACTTTGATAATATAAAATAAAATAATATAATATAATAGAATAATGAATAGTACAAGTAAGACGCGAATTTGCATCAGTTCTTCCGTTCCTACGTCTCTCAATTTCTGACAGTTTCATTATCGACTTATGAAAGTTGACTGTTCGTCATAAGTAAGATTATGATAAAGTTGAAACAAGTTTACCATTGTTTGAAGACTTAAACCTATGCAAGAAGGTTTAGGACAAGTTTCCACACTGCATAATCTTACCTGTAAACATGTTTTAATTACAATAAATTATTAATTTTTTTTATTAATAATTAATTTTTAATTATAATAACAAACATTTCTGTTATTATTATTATGATTATTTTGGACAAAATATAATATTACATAATAATTATAATAATAATAATATTTATTTTATGTACTGTAATAAATTATAATACTTACGATATTTTTTATAATATTATACTCAGTCGGCGAAGAATTAGTAGAAACGTTGACTCCTCACTTTGAAATATACGATTGACCGAAATCTCGCAGCATTTTTCTTATATTCGATGCCCATTCTGATACTATATTGGACCGTTTTGGAGACTTGTTCAATCACTTTCTGTAATTTGGTGAAAGTTTTCCATTATTTGACATATTCACATAAAATAGGTATTATAAAATAAGTAAGTATACAACACGTAACTAAATCGAACACAAAATCACGATGTGTGCCGCAATGACACGATAATAATAATAATGTCGTGTGTTTTGTGTAGACGTGGGTCTTTTTGTTATGCTTATCTTACCTAATAATATTATACCTAAATCAAGTCCCAAACCATTTTTAGAAATAATTAAATACATTTTATATTTTCGTATCCATTTAATGACACACATATCTCGATGTTCCACTAATAAAACCGTAATTGAAAAAAAATGACGCTTGTCTCGTTGTTCGGCCGAGATATTCTTTAACCTTCTTTGGACCAAATGAATATCAAAAATTTTTGGTTTCAATTTGTCACACATCAAGAAAAACAATCACTTTGCTATG